TTCTCTCAATGTACTGTAAACTTGTAAATACCAGATAACCAACTTAAAACCCCCTTCCAGTCCCAGTCTCAAGAAATAACACTGGCATTGTGCAGACATAACTTTCTTGAGAAAGTCACCATTTTCTGTCACTTTCTATTCTTTGCGGCTGGTAAAATGACAGCTCAGACTTAACTTTTACATAAGCTATTTTTAGATTTTTCTCAGACATCCTTTAACTGTTTCTTTTATACAGGATCCTACCCTAGGGATCATTTTATTCTTTGATTGGGTCATTAAGCAATCACTCTATACTGGTTCATTACTGGAAGTCACTGCAAGATCCAGAAACACATGAAGAGTGGCAAGCAGTTTATATTTCAGCAAGAGATTTATGCTAGAAAGGAGAAGTCAAGGTGTTGACAATTGAAATAAGGATGATCATTTCATGAGTTATTCCCTTTAGCTGGGGTTCCACTGTCCACAAGCCACTTAGTTTCCCTTTGAGGTCAGCATCTCTTCTCTCTGCAGCCAAACCAGCCTAATACACGTGTGCAGGTTTAATGCTGGAAGGGAGGGGCCAGCTTTACCCATACATAATCACTGTTTTATGGCTTTCACTCATTCCTGAGGTGTTAATGCAGATCAAATGGGAAACACTCGAGAAAGAACCCGTGCAGCTACTGCATTGCCTAGCTCTCCCCTCTCAATCGTTAATTCTTATTGTAAGATCTAAAGGTAATTTTGTTTGCTCTCTTAATGTGTTGCGGTTCTCCCAGTGGCCCTTGCATATCCTTTCTCAAATTCCCATCTTGATCAATTGTTTGCAAATAATTAAGCTTTTAAGAGATAATAGCATAAGGCTAATGTACACAAAAAGGCAGGTCTCCCTCACTGTCTATGGGACTGTGGTCAAATTTGCTTTGATATCCCGAAGTGATTAGGTTGATTGGTATATCTGGGAAGTGCCATCCATCTTTCCTTCACAAGAACCTACTGATCTTTCTTAAACTGTGTCCTTGAGATGCAATAACAGCAAAGGTGTTCGGGAGAATGGCAAGGAGTGACATAGACCTTTAGTTGCAAAGGTTTGGAATGAATTTCCCACTTTCTCCCTAAAAATGGCGCTTCTCAGAGATGACTCTTTATCTCTTTTGCAAAATGATGTCTGCCTTTGCCCATTGGATGGCCTCACTAGCCCTGTGGGTAGAAGGCAACAGGGCTTTGAATGTTTTTTTCAGCAGCCATGCCTGTGGCATGCTGGGATTTTGTCAAGTCACTGTCTTTTAAGTCTACGAAAGAAAGTCACTGTTTTTTAAGTCTACGAAGAATACTGTCCACAAAAAGCTTATTTAGTAAAGATGCATAGGATTTAAGATATTGAAATGTATTGAGTTTCAGTTTAAAAGCCTACTTCTTTGTGAATTTTTGGCTGGCTAAGGATTAGCTACATGAAGTCACGGCTTTCATGTGATTCTAGCAATTATAGACTTTTTTCAGGGAATTGAAAGTTTGTGGGACACTAAGGCCAAGAACTATGAGAAAAAGAAAAACATTCAGTTGACCTACCATAGACAAGGGTTTAGGAATTTTGTTGATACCTTTTTCTCCTCTTAACAATGGCCAGATTATTGTGACTTTTAATTTGTCCAATCTCTTTCGTTTCTATTTAAAAAAGTATTTATATCCCGAACAACTGAAAATTTCTTAATGGAGACAGAGTGCTGAGCCTCCGTAGCTTGAGGCTGCCTAGGAATTATGCTGCACGAAATTAGACACAGTTTGTTCCAATTACTTAAACTCAGATCACATGAAAAGTGACAGAGGAATAAAAGGGTAGAACTTTCTAATTTTATATTTAAATTATAAAATCAGAAACTACATGATGTGAAGAAACAACCAAAATTTGCACTGAAATTTTGAGAGCCATATTACTACCCTTTGAAGCTTTAGTAATCCGGGTAATGGTAATGATTCAAAGAGAATTTTTCTGACACCACTTGCATAAATAAAATGTGAATTCCATTTGCTTTGTAAGAATGTTTGTAAAACTTGCTCACAAACAGGCATGCAAAAGTACTCTTGAAAATACAGGAAAATAAATTACTGTGACAATTTTCAATTTTCAAAGTAACTAAAGATAAATGGCATAAATAATAATTTTTATCCAGTTCTGGTCACAATATTAAGACACAACTAATAAGACAGGGCAAAAAGTTTTGCCATCTGGCTATACTAAAGAGGGACTGTTGACATATTTATTAATTCTATTAAAAATCCCTGAAAGTGATTTCTGTAAGACCTGGACAACTGTCAGCAAATATATTTTACAAAAAATGTTATAGATTGGAAGTTACTTGTGTACTTCAGTGTACAACTTTATATGGCACATAGTGCCAATGGTGGGATGCTAATATTTGCATATTTCAAAATTGAGCTTGTCTTCTGGCATTGCAATACTGTAAGAACTGCTAGCCTGGGTAATCTTTAACCTCAATAGATCTTAGAACTCTGGATGACAAAATTGAGGATAAGAAAAGTTGTCTGTAGTTCAAAGTCCTATAGTTAATGAGTGGCAGCATCATTTATACAGTCTAATAGAGCCACTTATATTATGTACAATTCTTCAACTAGTATAGACATAGAACTACTGTATATCAAGCTATAATTCAGCGTTCTATCCATGGGATAAGAAATTCGTTTGGTTTGTACTGTGTGCCAAACCTTTGTACAGTGAGAGTTACGTTTTAAACCTTAGGGTAATGGATTGCTTTGAGCTCAGTAGCCAGTCGTGAGACTTTGGTTGCAATGGCTGGCATTCTGTTGAGTAACACCAATGTCACTTATGATCTTAGGCTATTATGAGGTTTATATACCTGTATTTGAAGAAAGTGGGTCGACATCACTTTTGTGAATAAAGCAACAAAAGTAGTGTCATGGATCTTAAATTGAATTGCTTCTGCTTTATGATACATTTTGATGTTGCCTCTGAGTGGAGAGTGTCTGTCATGGCATGGTACAGCCATTCCTTTGTTCCACAAATATTTAGTGATTTTCTGTTATGTCCCAGTCTGGGCTTTGAGCAAGGATAGAGAGAAAGCAAGACAATGGGTTTAGTAGCGTTGGTAGATGAGTGGGAAAAGACACACCAACAAGGAAATAAATAATTAAAGCAGGTGCTTCAGAGAGAGATGCTTGCTATTAGGGAAATAAGAAAAAGATGAATGTGAGCGTGATAAGGCGGCGTGCTGGGCGGTGGGGAGGGTAAAGCTGAACATTTGAGCTGAGAGCTGAAAGTGACATTGGAATAAGAACCCGAGTGATGGGAAAAGCTGGTGGTGTTAGGAAAACAGAAAGAAGGACGGTGTGGCTGGGTAGAGGAGTAGGAAGTGGGTGAGAAGAAGGTGTCAAAATCTGAGAGGTGGGCAGGGCTGGATGGTGGCAGGCCTTGTAGGCCATGGTAACCAGTCTGAAGGTTATTTCACAGGAGACATGAATGAGGATTATGAAAGGCATCTGCTACATCCTTTGGTCATGGTGAGGCTTAGGCACTGGAAGGGAAGCAGGAAATATCACTGACTTATGTCTGCCTCTGGCCATCTCTTCCCCTGGCCAGTTTCCTCACCTGTAAAACAGAATGGATGATAGATTCCATTTATGTTACTCAAAGGGATATAATGGGGATTAATTACCATCCTGTCTGTAATATACTTGGAGCTCTTTAGAGAAAGGCACTATATTCCATGAAAGCAAAGCCTTATTCTAATTGTGTATTTATTGATTAAGTGACAATCATAGACAATGCTTATGGAAAAATTGTGATCTCTCTGCTGTTCACAAACAAATCCCCTGTGTATAGATATAGAGCATATTTAAACTTACATATAAGAGTACTGAAGTGGTCATTAACAAGCCTTTTTAGCATCTAATCAGACATTATTAATTAAATTAAAAGCTATGTTAATTAGCATTCAATAGACCAGAATTTAGTTTCAATGGCACAGATAGTTAAATTAAGGGTTGGGGGTGCCCTTTTCCATTCATATGAGGGTTTCCATTCAATAGAGGGTTGACTCTCAGAAGAATTTTATCTTGGGATAATTTATTGAGATGTGGTGTTTCAAGCAAGCTAATGTCTCTATAGATGGAAACCACATCCTCAGCTCCTCCCCTAAGCTTTAGAAATATGTATTTCAAATTTAGATGTATTTGATTAGTGAACAGAAAGCATTTGTGCCAAAACTAATTTCAGTAGAATTCCAAACGTTCTTACAGGAAGGTATGAATTTCACTTTATTATCTAACCCTGTAATACTTTTATCTACTCTGACTCTTGAAGAACATAGCTGGGCTTGTTCTTAGCATGCAAAATATGCTGGTCTTTGACCTTATATTGGCCTGTGTTCAGAATCTCAGCATGTGTTGACATTCAGATATGGAAACCAACATTGGTGAATTTTTTTTTTTTTTTTTTGCTGAAGACTTAAAATGAGTACTCTGTGTGTGTGTGTGTGTGTGTGTGTGTTTAATAACACCCACTTTAGTTTTGAGATTTGCATCTGGCAATATGGTGTTTTAGAGGGAGAATGTCACTATGGGGACCTCAGCTGAGATTGTTGGTCCACATGGGTCAACTTTAGAAATTTATGGTTCAATGAATATATTAAATCGGGGCTGTTTACTTTTAGATGGTAACAAATGGCTTGTCCTTATTTTAATCCTATAAAATACAGTGAAGATCATACTAAACTTTCTGTGTTTGCAACAAATAAACCTGTTAAAGGATAAACTCAGTATCAAGGGTCTGCAAGTATCCTAAGTAGCTATTTATACACTTCACTAATCTTTGTAATTGGCTTGTCTTTTACTGCCATTAATTAGATGATGTAGTATTCCATTAATAAGAGTGACACACCTCAGCATTTTTACCTTTAATTATAGACTTCTTGAGACACTTAGGCTATTGACAAAATGGCCTAAATATTGCCTGATGCACGCATATCTTTTTAATTCTTTTTCAGCACCCTTACCCTTCTGAAGAACAGAAAAAGCAGTTGGCACAAGACACAGGACTCACCATCCTTCAAGTGAACAATTGGTAAGTAATTTGGCTTTGCATCTACACACAATCTGTTTCCCCCTCTGGCAACCTGCAGCTCATGTTTTGCATTAAGAAGACACACCCAGTTGCCACTGCTCTCCCTGGTGGCCTGTTGATCCAAAAGTGAAAACAAACTATTGACTGATACGTGAGAACATTTGCTAGTATGGGAAATAAAACATTGTATTGCCTTCTACCTCCTTTATAAGTTGACAATTTTATGCATAGTATAAGTATGTGTGTAATTCACATTCTCTATGGCTCTGTCAATGTATCTCTCTCTATGGCTTTTTTCCCCTCCTTCAGGGTAATCAATAGAGTAGTATCATCCTATTTTCTACAAAACAAGAAAATCCACCATCACATATCAGTCAGGTTTAAATTCATTGAATAACTAAATTCAGTTAGATTTTGTTAGGGCTATGCATTCAAGGATAGTCTCTCCTTTACTGTTATCTCCCAAATACTGAGAGGAAGAAATTATTTATGTTTCTCTTTGAGGCTATTCCAAACCTGAGGCATCTCAGGACTGTGCAATACTGTTTCTAAATAAAGTGTAAATTCCTGATGTGGGGCAAAGCTGAGATTATGTACAAAGTACCAGCCAACAATATTCTGACTCAGTGTACAGCCGTGTGGCAATGAGACTTTGAGAAAGTATGATTTATTACCCTTTGTGAATGTGCTGAAAGCCAGGTTTCATATAATCACCCAGGGCTAGTGTCATATTTGAAGGGTATCGAAATCCAATATCCTCCAAAAGTAAGTGTATCTAATTAATTGTCCTAATATTTTTAGATTAGTGTTTATGATGGGGAAACCTTATCCTCTTTGAAGTAAAATCCAGAAGAGGCCCAAAGCCTGGGCTGGGGAAGGGGAGAACTAGGAATGCCAGTTTGCAGAGAAGTATTTCTTTCTATTCAATAAGTGTCAAAGATTAATATTACAGAATCTCTGATTACATGGCCTAATCCATTTTGGTGAATAAATTTGTTCTTGATGTCTATTGCACCTACATTAACAGACCCGTCTCTGTTAGAGAGCCTGGGAGCCTTTGGGAGAGATTTCAGATATATTAAACCCCATTACAGAAAATGTAATTTCTGTCAATATAATCCCATGTATTCTTCAATTTAGTATTTTAGAGATAACAAGCTACTTACAATATATTTGCCTTTGGAGGATTAATTTACAAAGTGCACTATCTGCAAGACACAGACAGACTCACATAAGCATTGCTTGTAAGGGTTATCAATTTCTATGACCTTACTGCAGCCTTGAGAGATCAATTTTTGCAGCCCTTTTCATCAGTGGATGGTAAACCAAGCAAAGGCATGCTACATCTAAATGTGTTACTAGGAGTTGTGTGGCTGCTGAGGTTTTTTGTTTACCTATTTCTACCTGCTACTGTGTCTTAATTTTCAAAGCTATTAATACTACATATTGGAACTTTCAGATGGTTCTGGACGACATTATAGGGGAGACCATCAATTTTGCACGCACATCTAAATGCATATATCTGTATTTTAAAACTTAAAGCTGATGTTGAGACAGTTTTAATACAATGGAGGCTGCACAAATGTCCACATTTCCCTGGGAAGTGTTCCTTTTGCGGGCGAAGGAGTGGCAGGATAAGCTCTCTAGTTAAGAAACGAAAAGTGCTATCATTCAGGGATCTATCCTGTGAGCCATTTCTCTTCCTCTGCAGGGTTGCTAGCAAACTCCACTCATAAACACAGTTACCGGAGAACAAGTCCCAGTACAAGTTGCTTACTATGGGTGGACAGCCTTATTATGGGATATTTCCTGTGAATGCAGGAAGAGGAAGGCATTCTTGTGACTTCAAGCAATATATATATATATATATACACACACACAGTTTTCTAGATTCTATGCACAATCTCTGCCAGAGAGCAATCTTCCTAATCAATGATCATAATTCGACTTTCTCAGTTTTGTAACCAGAAGGGAGAGAAAGGATGTTTAAAAGTTTTAATTCACACTCTAAAATAATTTTAAATTATATGCAGACTTTACCCTAAATTTGACACTGCTATTCAATTCTGCACAGGTAAATAACTTAAAAATAGCCTTTACTTAGTTATTTGGGACAGAAACACAATTCTGTGCTTAACGGTCATTTTGTGCAGTGTGTGGGTTCTCTCTACTTGTATATATATGGAGTTAGAAGTAGCTTTTCTTGCACCTCAGTGCTTTGCATTTTGCAATTGTTTCAACATTTAACAACTTTGTTTGCTGTAGAAAATGTCCCTCAAGTAACCAAAAGTTGTAAGAGAGATCGTTTTTCTTCATTTTGACAAATAATGACAATAGCATGTTTGATTTGAATTTTTAATGGTTTATTAATTTTTGTGGAAACCTCTTCCTGTTTGTTTTGTTTTGAGACCAAGTCCTGCTCTGTTGCCTGGGCTGGAGTGCAGTGGCGTGAACATGGCTCACTGCAACCTCCAACTCCTAGCTCAAGTGATCCTCCTGACTCAGCCTCCCCAGTAGCTGGGAATACAGGCATATGCCACCATGCCTGGTTAATTTTTTTTTCTTTTGTATAGGCAGGGGTTTTGCTATGTTGCCCAGGCTGGTCTCTAATTCTGGGGCTCAAGAGATCCACCCACTTCAGCCTTCCAAAGTGCTGGGGTTACAGGCGTGAGCTACTGCACCCAGCTTATAAACATTTTTATAAAAAATGTTTTTTATCTTATCTATACTGAGTATCAGTACATAGCAGGAAAGTTATTTCCTACTAAAAGTAATAATTTTGAAAATGTCATCATTAGTATTTCTGCATTTCCCTTTCACTTATTTAAACATCTGTGTCTTCCTTCTTGGATTTCTTAAAACTTGTTAACACACATGTACATTTTTGTATGAACTATGAGTCACTGTTGAAATGCAATTCAATAAAATGCTGAAGGGCAGGTTGAGTGTAGATCAGTCATAATTATTGGCAGCAACATAATGTATCAAAATATATAATATGTAAGTGAAAAATATAAACTCGTGTCTAGTTGTTAGAGTGTCATAGAAACCCTGGCTGATGCAGTTTTAAGTTAGGCTTTGACTGAAAAATAGACAAGAAGTTTGCTACATTTTAATGGTTCTTTCACTTCATCACTGAACTAATTTTACATTTCTCTAATTGACATAGTAATATATACTACCTGCCTCAGGTGGCTAAGGCTAAAGCACATGGGATTTGAGGGGAGAAAGGCAAAAGAGAGAACTTAAAAGTAAAACAATAAGACTGATTTGATTAATTAAGAGAAAATCTGGACAAAAGAATGTCTTGTTGTAACTCTTACTTTGATCCAATTGTCAGAATAAAAATGGAGAGAAAGAATCTTAAAACAGTTGGCATCAGTACTTACAGCATGTGGGCCCTAGGATGGAATGTGAAATTTATTAGATGTGACATTGTAGGCCAAGTCTATGCCAATAAATTTTTTGAGAATTGAGGCAATTATGTAAATAATTTGAGTAAAAAATTTTTACATAAATTATCTAAGTAGTTGATGTAGTTGCTTGTCTTTTAAAAATCAACCTCCATAACTAGTTGCCTAAATATTTCAATCTACTATGCTGTGGTAGACTTAGATTTAAAAGTGTAATCGTTTTTGAAACATAATATGCACCATAGATTTATGTATTCTTCCTTCTTTGGTTCCTTGCTCCCAATTATAATTGTATCCAAAAATGATAAATAATAGCATCAGGGGCTTTTGTCTTTTTGCTTTTTTATTGTTGTTGTGGTTGTAACAAATACTTGTGTTATATCAGCAGTGCAAACATTATCAATATGCTAAATGTTTTAGTAATTTAAGTAGAATCATCTTAAATTTTGAGATTAGATGGTTATTTAAACCTTTAAGTGTTTAAGTAGAACTTTACAAAAACACACATACACACACACAATCAATACTTGGTTGATTTTCTCCTGAGTAGACCAACTTAATTTTTTTTATATTGAAAATGTGAATGTAGAATGGTCAGATAAAAATTCCCTTATACATGATCACACCAGTGTTGCAGACCTGGGAATTCCCTGTGATGAAAACTTATCTCTTGTGATTGTGTTGTACTTACTGGAGGCCTCAGTCACCTCCTGCCTCAGCAGAGTTTTGGCCTAGGGTGTATTGAATACATTTTACAGTTTCTTTGTTTACTACTCCTCATCCAAACACTTTCCCATTAAGGCCTGATATTAAGTGATTATCCCTTTATGCTCTGAGAAGGCAATATGGGTTTTAGGTGCAAAATATATAGTGTATGTGAAATACAGTATTTATATATAGAGAAAAATTATTCTCCATCAAGAGGGTATATCAAATTCCAGGTTGCATCCTAGCAGCCAAGATGACACTGTTCAGAACTATCGTACTCTACATTTCTTAGATTTAGTGCTCATACCAGATTTTCCTAGTTACTTCATTTATGGCTTTCAAAGCTGCAAAGCATTCAGGCATCACTTCCCATTTATTACTAGTGGGAAAAAAAGTATGTTATCCTTAGAGATTTATGCCACTGGCAAGTAAAAATGTAAACTTATTTTTTAAAAATAAGATCTCCTTTATTATAATAAACAGATTCAACTGTTAAAGGTCAAGTTTCTTTCTGAGTTATGGTAATAATGTAGCAAATACTTTTACAAATAATCAAAGATTCTATAAATATAGGTACCTGTTTAGATGTAAATGTTAAAACATTCACAAATTATCCTTTCAACTTCTGTGATCTAAAAATCAATAGGGGTCATAGGGTTTCATAGAATTGTTCTGCTTTTTCTTCCAACATAATTTAATAATACATTTTACAGATGTTGTTTGAATATTAGACACAGATTGTTTTGTCAATAAAGCTAAACAGAGGCATGACACAAAAGCAAGGAAAACAGATGTAAAAAAAGAAAAAAACAGTGCACGATGCAAGAAGCTCTGGGTCACTTGTTTGCTATTCAACTACAAAATTAAAGTGCGGGCTGT